GGTTCTGCCAGATAATGGTTTGATATTCTGTTGGATTTCTCCGTACGTGGGAAGAAGAAGAGCATAGCACATATATAAATTAAGGTTTAAATCTTAAATTGGTTATTTATTTAATTATTGTTCTTATATTTTCAAAATAACTATTTTGATATTTAGCGTTTCCAAAACATAATCTATTTTGTTATAAATCTCATTCCTCTGGAAAAGAATCATTTAATTAAGAGAGTATATTATTCTTTTTTAGCAACAATCAAGTCGTAATCTAAGTTAAAAGTGAGTATAGTTTATCGATAATTGACATATTATCTACAACCAAGAAGTTGTGGATTCGATCCCCACCCCCAGATGTTGTACTAAAAAAAAGTCGTAATTCAAACTTAGATACCCACCCTACATATTATCTATCACACCTAATATTTAAGGTGATGGTAAGATTAGTGATTCAAAACAGAAAAAAAAAATTAAGTATAATTGATTTTTAAAATTACTATCCAACTAATGCATTAAAAATTAATTTAAAGTGATTTTAGTTATGCCAAAACCACTCCCGAYCACACTATTAATTCATTCGCCGGTAAATAAATACATTGGAAGTTACATCATATATTTATTAAGGACATGCATGCTTGAGAGAGATTTTAGCCGCTTTTGTTAGTTTAATAAAACCACCTGTAATATGATTATAAAAAAAAATTACCATTTTAAACTGAAGTAATTTTGATTCTTTTTTAGTACGAAATAATTTTGATATTGATAAAAGTAACTTTAGTCGTATTTCTAAATATGTGGTCTAATATTTGACAACAAAAAGTTAAAATTCGAAATTAAATAAATCTGACAACTGACAAGACTTATAAAAACGGTTGTGGTCAAAATATTCTGATAATTCAAATGAGAGAGAGAGAGGGATAAGATATTTTTGTGATCTGCAAAGCACGGGTTCTACGGTTACAATCACGACACAACGTACAACGCCACCTTCTTTACTATCCTCTTCTCCTCATTCAAACGACATGTCGATCCCCCGCTCTCCTGTTTATTCTAAATTTCTAATTTCTAACACAAGGCCATTTTTCATTTTAAAATTAATATAAACTATATTTTTTGTTTAAAAGATCTACCTACGCTATAATATAGCAATATACAAACCAAAATGGTTTCATTTAATTGAATATATTATGTTACACTTGTTGTTTAGAGATTTTTTTTCCCCTAAACAATAAATATGGAAAAGGAAATTCTAACTTGCAATTTAAATAATATTTTCGAATAAAGAATCGGAGTAGGGTTATCCAAAAGAGCTCACTTGACCACTTCCAAACATGAGAAGCGGCTAGATGTCGATAAAAAATTTATTGGTGTTTAAGTTAGAGTTAGCTTTTTGATCATATCAAATTGGATGAAGGTGGATTGTACATCTCAAAGTAAACGTGATTCCTATGTTTATTATAKGGAGAATTTTCTCATATCCAACCACTAATTCTAATGCAAGTCATCCTATGGACTTGGTTGGTGGTAAGTATGTCGATACTAGTATATATATAAATTCCTATGTGCTTAATAATAAATGAGAGGTTATGACCCTACTTTAGGAGAGACGTGCACGTGATGAACTAGCATTATACTCTTACACCACCTATATTAAAGTACCACGATTGTAATTATAAAGATATGTATGTAGCGAGATATTACAATAGAGGTGGATTATTCATCAAATCGCTCCAACTTACGAAGTTAGTTATCACTTTTAACTCAGACTAGAAACCTATAAACTTGTTCTCAAAGAATAAAGGCATTTCATTATCATTTATGGTCCCGGAAAAACAATGTCAAACAACCGGATAAGCCATGTTTTGCTTCATTTATGGAGGAATATTCAACTAGATAAGTCTCTCTTTTTTCATTTTTTCTTATTTTTTTTCTTTTTCTTTGATTTAACTAGATAAGTTGTTTGTTCAAGGATATTGAAAAATTCCAATCAACCGAACCCAAAATATTTATTAGACGAGGAAATTAAAATTGACTGGAGTGATGAATATGATCTGAATCAACCTTTTTTTTTTCCTTTTCTCAGGGGAAAAAAAAAGTTGAAATAAAATTTAAAATTAATATTACTAATTTAGTTTGTAATATTTAAATTTTCTAATATTACATCATTTAACTTTGATTTTATCATCAATGACACTATTACTCAAATATTGATGTGAAGTATTGATAATGATGATTTAATATAAGAAAGTAGGTTAATCGGACAAAACTAAATATATATTATATTGATAATGCAAGTAATCATAATACATTTTCATTTTTTTTAAGCTTTTCTTCCCTTAAATTCAAATCTATTTGATTAAGTTATTCTCATCCTTGGAAAAATTATTATTGATAAATACAATCACTGAAAACCACAACAATTTTTAACATCATCAAATTATTCGTTAAAATTTAAAACTTAAAGATTAAAGAAACTTTAAAAAATCATACTAATAGACCCAACAATCAAAATTTTTTTTTCTTTGTAAGAAGTAAAAATAAGATTTAATCCTTTAAAATATAAATACAAATATGTGAGTATTTGCATATATGTTGACAAATATTAAAAAAAAGAAAAAAGTTGGTGGGTCATATTTCCAAACCCCACCACAAAAGGCTTTCCATGAGCTGTTTGGGGGTGGGCAAACCGTTGGAGGTTAGCTTCGCAATTCTATAATTCTCTAATTTGCAAATTATAATGTATTTATTTATTGTCGATTTTACTCCTATTAGAATGTTTTGATTTGTAACTCCATTTGTTATAATAAAAAGACTAATTCTTATTTTACTTTTTGCAACCGAAAATTTTTTTGTTAGTAGTATATTTTACTATTTTTATAATTCTTTTTATGAAATTTATCCGTGGTGAACCACTCCTATTTTAATTTCTACACTACGTTTGAATAATTTTTTTTTTTTTTGGAAAAAACCACATTTTTAAGTTCCAAATTAGAATATTTCAATTTTCACTGTTTTCTTCTAACAAAATTTCAATTCCATATAATGACAGAATCAAAATTCTAAACCAAAAAAGTTTTTTATTTTAGTTTCAACAACACATAGGGCATGTGTTGGAGATTCGAACCTTTTGACATTTTGGTCAAAGATATGTTGACTCCTTATCAATAAGAACCTATATGATTCTAACCACTAATAAAAAAAAAGTTATCGCTCATTATTTTTTATTTTCTTTTTATTTTACATCTCTCTTAATCGTCAATTTTTCAATAGTTGTCAGGATCATATAGGTCGGTAAGGAGTCAATTATTTTCCGTCTAATTATACTCAAGTGAGCTAAACCAAAAAGTTCATGTTACATGCACTATAATATAATATATATTTTTTTAATTTTAGTATACATATGAGGTGAGGGATCGAACTCACTACCTCTTGATTGGAGATAATATATATGTCAATTACCGATGAGTTATGCTTGCTTTGACGATGTACTATTATTATTACTATTTAATAGTCTCTGTATGTGTAATCAAAGACACGATTTAAATAATAAAAAGATTGGTTAAACAAACATTCTCATTAAAAGAGTATATATAATTAAATTAGTCGGTATTATTATTCATCTAACTTGAACCAAATTTACAACAGAAAAATTCGCACAAAATCCTCAATTTGATCGCCTCTATCTTCTTTATTTTTTCTTTTTAGGGACGAAAAGCTTTATGATATTTTTTAAATAAGCATCAATTTATATAATTAATAAAATTGAGAAAAAGGGGAAAAAAAAAGAAAAAGATGTTACTTGACGAATATCAAGTTTGATTAATAATAATAAGCGTTTGACGGGACATAAGTAGATTGAGATTGAGGCGCATGGAATAAGCAATAATTAAGTAGATTTTGAATAATTAAATTTATGAAAAAACGACAGATATATTGTATTTGTAACACAACATTTAATAATTTGTTGAATTGAATATGAACAACACTTGCCAAAAGACAGTTAGAATTTGAAGACCAACCATTTTGGTATTTCAATTGGTATGTCTTTAGCAATCAAATAGGACCGTCACTTATTTTGAGATTGAAATTAAGACTGGAATATAGTTGAAGGGCACGTAATTTTCATGCACATCTCTCGTCTTACTTTGATTGTTTTACAATTTTTTTAAGCGATGTTTATGTTCGTACTATCACCTTGATGAGATAGTGTTCGTTTTAGATATTGGTAAGGCTACAATCCTTTAACTTAACATCGACTAATGATTTCAACCCATATAATTCAATAGTTACGACACCCTCTAAAAGTTGATGATTCTAATATTCACTTGACAAATATAAATAAATACCAAAACAAATAAATTTTTTTAATAATATAAGAACTAAAATTGACAAATTAAAAGTACAAATACAAAAACATCTATTTTGTTAAAAAAGTATAGGACCATACTTGCAGATAAAAACCATGTCATTTCTTAAAAGTATAGGGACTAAAAAAATATAATAGACTAGCTTAAAACTTTTTAAACAATAAAAATTAAATTTGGAATAAACTAAAATATCATGAACTAAAATGCATATTTAGTAACGAGCTAATCACATCTAAATTTTTTTAGCTTTGAAATTAGGAAATAATATTTATTTGTTTTCTCAAAAAAAAAATCGAAGCTCTTGAGTCTCAACAGTTGATGATTTATTTTAACCTGACTATCATGAAATATTTGATAATTAAGTTAGAGAAATGTAAATCTTTTATTCTAAAATATTTGACAATTAAGCAAGAGAATGATAAAATAATAATAATAATAATAATGAGCTATTAATTTTTAAACTTTGGACTGATTTTTTGTGATGTGCTTCCACGTGTTAGTTTGATTTTGTTATACAGAGGCTGTGTAATAGGACGATTAGGTTATGATGGTGTATTATTAATTGGTTATTAAACTTTGATTTTGACTCTGTGTTTCTTTGTGCTTCTGTGTGTAGTATAGTGGCGTGGACCCCATTGCTGGACCTCTGCTTTGCTGGCTTCAAGCTCTCCATTGTTGCTCTTTTATGGGGCTTGTCTGCCTGTGAGTGAGAGAGAAAGTGAAAGAGAAAAGAGAAAAGAGGGGTTTCAGTTCAGTTCTCTATACCTTTCTTTTTCAGAGAACCCTTTTATTTCAGTCTCCCACTCTCTGTTCTTCAACAACAAATTCATCGTTTCCCATAATCCAGAGCACAAAAAGCAGCCAAACCCACTTCTGTTTCCTCGCCCTTTCGTCTAATTTTGATGGATCCACAGATCTAATGCCCTCAGACCCCACGATCTTCTTCCTTTTGCGAGATCCTCGTCTTCTTCCTCTGCTCATTCATGGGAGCTTCCACTGAGCTGATAACTTCTGTAAGCCCCCCTTTTCTTTTCTTTAATTTTCTTCCTCTGGGTCCCCTTTTGTTTTGTTTTTTATTTTTCCTTGTGGGTTTGCTGAATTTGCTGATGAGGATGTTGAATTATTCAAATTAACTCGTTTCCCCCTTGGAATCTGTGGTGGCCGAGAGGCCTTGTATTTCAATGTGAAGACGTAGACTTCTCTGGATGAATAAAAGGCTGACTAAGGAATCGTGGAAGAAAAAATCGCCTTTGACCTCTCACTTCTTCACCTCCCCCCCAATCTGACTTTTTCTACCGTTAGCGGCCATATTCAACATGAGTTTTGTGCTCAATAGGAAACAGAACCGGTTTCAGATTATCCCAATTGAAATTTACTGTAAACTCTGCCTTTTTTTTTTTTTTTTTGTCATGCCTCTCTCGTTTTGATTGACAGAATCGATATTTATCTGTCTATGTTTGCGCTGTTCTTATTGGCTGTTTTTTAGCATATATAAGTTTGTGATTTTAAACAACGGCACAGCAGAAGAAATTGGGATTAGTGAGTCTAAAATTGCTTTTGTACCTTGTATTCAGATGTGGAGATTTTGGAGGGTTGTTTGGGTGGGATGAGGGATGTTCTCAGAGTTGATGAACTTTCTGAGATCTTGTTTTCGACCAAGGTCGAATCGACATGTGCACAAAGGTTCAGATGCTGGGGGTCGCCAGGATGGTCTGTTGTGGTACAAAGACAGTGGGCAGCACGCCAATGGTGAGTTTTCAATGGCGGTAGTTCAGGCTAACAATTTACTTGAGGATCAAAGCCAGATGGAGTCGGGCAATTTGAGCTTGCACGAGTCCGGCCCGTATGGTACCTTTGTTGGTGTATATGATGGGCATGGAGGGCCCGAGATGTCTCGCTATGTGAATGATCACCTTTTCCAGCATCTTAAAAGTAAGCCACTGAAACTTCTACGTTCTTAATTCTTATGTATGTTTTTTTGTTCAATAATTTATTTCCCATATGCTCAATTTCTCAACAAGTTGATGGGAGTTGGTTTGCAAGTGGATTGTGCTTCTAGAAAGGGATGAAAGATGGGATTCAGATTCAATACAGTTGCGTTTTAGTTTGAAAAAATGAAGAATACTATGCTCCTAGTGCTTTTACTTGTTTATAGTTTTCCATAAAGCATATTCCCATCTCATATAAATTGGATTAGTGAGTTGGGCTGGCTTAAATCAGGATTTATTTTTAGAGGGTAAAATTTGAATATTCCTTCCCTTCTCCACTTCTTCCATATCATATGGTTGGTCAATATTTTAAAAGCATGTAACACATAAGCTGAAATTTTGTCTAGTATCTATCTGGTTATTTCACAATTCAGGCTTGTGTATAATTGTCCATGAAATTTGGAAACTGCGGTATGCTCCAGAGTTCTCATGTTATGTTCCCTAAATTTCTAGGGTTTACTTCAGAGCAACAGTCCATGTCAGTGGATGTCATACGAAAGGCATTTCAAGCTACCGAAGAGGGGGTTATCGCTCAAGTTTCAAGAGAATGGTCAATGAGGCCACAAATCGCAGCTGTTGGATCTTGCTGCCTTGTTGGTGTAATTTGTGGTGGAACCCTTTACATTGCTAACGCAGGTGATTCCCGTGCTGTTTTAGGGAGAGTCGTAAAGGCGACAGGGGAAGTTTTATCCGTTCAGTTATCGACTGAGCACAATGCAGCTATAGAGTCTGTGAGGCAAGAGCTTCGTGCCCTGCATCCCGATGACTCTCATATTGTAGTTTTGAAGCATAATGTATGGCGTGTGAAGGGCCTTATACAGGTAAATAATTTAATGCATCAAAACAGATTATGCTCGCAGTTTGTCTTTCCATGTGGCCGAATTATGTTCTTCACCATGCAAACCAACTTTCTTTCTTAGGTTTCTCGATCTATTGGTGATGTCTATTTAAAGAAAGCTGAGTTCAACCGAGAGCCTCTTTATGCTAAGTTCCGCCTTCGTGAACCTATCAAAAAGCCCATACTGAGCGCGGAACCGTCTATTTCAGTGTTGCAATTGCAGCCACAGGATCAGTTCATTATATTTGCTTCAGATGGCCTCTGGGAACACCTTAGCAATCAGGAGGCTGTCGACATTGTCCAAAACCATCCGCGTAGTGTAAGACTTCTCTCCCAGCTTAAAATTAGCGAAGAGAACGCCATTTTTCTTGATTGATCTGCTAGTTTTATATTGCAAAGGAAAATGGACAAAAGTAACATGGTCACCTGACATATCCTACATTTTCTACACGCTGCATTATTCATGTTTTAGGTTACTAGTTTAGTTTTTCTTCCATATGAAAAATAGGTGGTTCCATTTCGCTAAAGGGAGGACTGTGTAAGAGGCAATGGCTGAAATATTTGGCCTTTCTTTGATCACAAATGGGCAAGTTTGCTTATACATGTATATGCCTGGTATAGTTTATAGCTATTTGTGGATCTTTCATGATTCATCCTCTTGGGGAAAGTCCATTTTTAACCCCCTCCCTCATGTTTAGGAAAATGTATCTTAGATCGATCCTCCTCATCTGCTCATAAACCGGGTTTTATATCCTACTGTTGAGTTGGATTGAAAAATAGAGTCAGTATGCTTTTTGTTGATTAAGAGCAATCCGAAATAGCTGCCATAGTTCTGTACTTCTTTGCTGGTTACATTTTGGTATTGGCTTATGATGCATGTATTTCATTCTTTTGAAAGTTTTGAAATGAATATCTTCTCAAATAAAAAAAAGTTCAATTGTCAAACTCATTTGAAAACACAAACCTAGTGTTGAAAAAGGAATTACCAAAAGGGAAGAAGAAGAAAAATGTAAAAGAAACTCAACTTCCATTTGAACAATCTCATTTCAGGGAAGTGCAAGGAGGCTGGTGAAAGCAGCACTGCAAGAGGCAGCCAAGAAGAGAGAAATGAGGTACTCCGATTTGAAGAAGATTGACCGCGGCGTAAGGCGACACTTCCACGATGACATCACAGTGGTTGTCGTGTTTCTCGACTCGAACCTTGTGAGCCGGGCTAGCTCTACAAAATGCACAAGCCTATCCGTGCGAGGGGGCGGAGTCAACTTGCCTCCAAACACACTGGCCCCTTGCACCACACCATCAGAGACTGGCATGGCCTGATTAGGCTATAATCATCTCATGTTTGTCTGTTGTAATGTTCTCATATGTGAATACCAGGTAGCAGCTTCCAACAGAGATAAAGTGGAGCCAGGCATCAATCCCTTTACTATACACTATAACTCTTAACTTAAAAAGAAAAAAGAAGGAAAAAAGAAAAGCTTCAGCTTTCTGTCCAAAACCAGAGCAACTGAAGTAGACAGCTTCAAGTTGTCTGTAACTGTAGCTAATTCCTTGGCATATTTCTTATCCTTCCAATGATTTTTTTCCCTCTTTCTTTTTACCCATTTTGCTCAGTGCTTAGCTCTTGTAAATTGTATGTATGACTATGGAAATTCAGTTTTGCTTGTTTTGATCTGTGTCAATTCATGCTAAACTGCCTAATCTGTCATTACATCTGCACTTGCCTATTTATGAAACCAATTGAATGATTGATTGTTATTTTATTTTCCCCCAATGTTCCTCCCCCTTCCTTCTAAAATTCCAAAACTTCAGAAAACATCTTCCTACGAGATATGTATCGACGAACGTACTCGTAGGTTGATGTGGGTCAAATGCGTCTTTTGAAGATATATATTTTCTACTTCTTTCTAAATATTTGTAGATAGAGGATGGAAGGGAAGGGATTGTTGTTCATTTGAAACTCCAAGAAAGAGGAGGGAAACTGAAATGAAGCATGGCATTGGAAGAGTGCAGATTTCATGAAAGAATCCAAATATAAAAGAAGGAATTGTTGTGTTTTGTGGGTGTGGAGAGAGAGAGAGAGAAAGGTGGAAGCTTTAATCTGAGTAGTGCAGAGTGTCAGTAAGGGCATAAACACAATAATCCAGACAGAAAATTTGATGGTCCCTATGTGTAAGAAAGAATACTGGTGTATGCTTGTCTTGTTTTAATTGTCATTTCTATTTCCAGTTCCACCCCCCACTGAATGGCACATTTCTCACTGCCCCTCAACTCTCTCTCTCTCTCTATGTTGGGTTGGTTGGATTTGTGTGTTCTTGGTTGTTCATTTTGGATTAGATGAGCATCAATCAGTGAACATGTGAGTGAATTGGTTGCGAGAGCATGAATACTTTTTTCATTCATTATATAACACCTCAGCAATGTATTGACATTAAAATAATAATGTGAATAAAGGGAATATGGTATTCTCACTCTTAATATGAGAATTTTTTCAATCACTTTGATAATAAGATTCCATTTCTCAATGACTTTATAAAAAAATTGAACAAGTGTAGTATTTTTTTAGTACAACAATTTGGAGAAATAGGAGATCGAACCTCCATCCTCGAGAGAAGGAAAACAAGTCAATTATCATTGAATTATGTTTATGTTGGCAAAAAATGTAGTATTTGGAACAAAGAACTAGAAATAGTAGTCTTATTTATATATCTAATAAATTTTTCTTAGATATTTCAAAATTTTTCTTTTTTACTTAATATTGTTTATAAATAGTAGGGGTATGAGAACTATAGAACGAGAGGAAAAAATGATTATAAACTTAGTCTATAAATTTTGATAGTTGTAGCATTGTTTAGTCTATAAGTTTTACAAAGTTTCATGCTCATCTTTAAAATTTCAATTTTGACCGTAATATTACCACGTTGATAACATCATTTCTTAAATATTGAAACAATATCGATTGAGCTAGCAAGTAATGATTTTGCATGATATAATACAAGAGAGTATGTTAGCAGTCAGCTCGATAAAATGAACTTTGGCTACACATAAAATTTGATGTAGTGGATAAGTATAATATGTTTTCAATTGAAATATTTTACTTGACTATTCTTATTTTTGTTTATTTTAACTTATTCATTTGTGTTACATATTGCAACATGATACCAAATCACCATCTAAACATGTCTAATAAAAGTGTTAACACACAGCCATGTTAATTTTTTAAAATTTGGAGTCCAAATAAATACAACCATCAAAGTTCACAACTAACCTTACGGTCAACCTTACGGTCAGTATTTTTCCAATAACATGGAAGGTATGTTATTGGAGTAGATAGGTACCCGCTCCAATAACATGGAATGTATGTTTCCACCATGCCCCGAGCTCTTCCCCGATTCAATTTTTTAAATAATAAATATATATTTTACTATTTTACTATTTTACTAATTATGAATAAAATATTACATGTTTTTTAAAAACTAATTATGTATACTAGTAAATAATATATATATTTTAAATATTTTTATTTTTAAAATTTAAATTAATTACTAAACCGATAATTTTTCTACGAATATCCTTAATTTGTCCCAAAACGATGAGCAACTTAGACCTTGATTCTCAAAATCATAAAAGGTGGTGGAGACAGAAACTAAAAAAATTTCACGATTACGAGATGAGGAAGACATCCCAACTCACATCCATACCATTTTCATCTCTACTTTACATGAATTTTGTTCTCTGTGGCATATCTGTCAAATTCTACAACTTTTTCAAAACATAAAATAAAATACTATTATCAAACATGATTGATTTTTTGTATTTTAAAAATAGAAAATAGTTATCAAACATTATTTTTATTTTCTAAAAGCATAAAACTAAAAATAGAAAAGAAAAAACAGAAAAAACTAATCTTATCAAACAGGATATTAGATAATTCATCCAACTTTTAAACCTAAAGGGGAAAAGAAGAAAAATAAAAAAGCAGAGCATTCTTCTCCAAGGAGACAGAGTAGTTGTCTCTAAGCCATAAAGACAGTGACAGTTGTGACTTTCTGGATTCTCCAAACCAAAACCCTAAGCTTATTATTCTGTAATGTAGTGTTTTTGTTGCCCAAAAAAAAAAAAAACACAATTATATTATATTATACAATTATACCCCTTTGTTGTTTATTTCAAGTTTCAACCTTCCAAACAACATTGCCACCAGACAACACAACAAATCTCTCTCTCTGTCTCTCTCCACTTTTTACCAAGTTTGACTCATCTTTTCAGAGAGAGAGAGAGCTGCAAACAGTTCCATTTCAACCCATTAATCAATGCTGAGATATTGTAAATAAAAGTAATGAAAATTGTAATATGTAAAAGAAGCAGTTCGAAAAGATTTAAAAACAAGTTCTGAACTTTTTCCTATTTCGAACTGTTTAACATTTACACGCCAACTAATGGAGTACAAAATTTTACTGAACAGTCTCCTCTCCTCTTTCTTTCTCGAGCCCCTACCTTCTTCCTCCCCTATGTTTTTTACTCTCTTTCTCTCTCTCTCTCCCTTTGCTCTGCATTTCTCTCTCTTTCAAACAAAAGGGTTTCTTTGCAATCTTTCTTGTGTCTAAAGAACTGCTAAAGCAGAGTTTTTCTTTCTTTTTTTTGGGCTGGAGAGGATACAGCGTCCTTCAACTTCAAGCACTTCCTTGAAACTCCTCTCTTTTTATCAGAAAGAAGTGTGCTAGAGCTAGCAATCACCAACCTTGTTGAAAAGGCACATTGTTTTTTAAGCAAACCCTCCATTTTACTTGCGAGAAGATGAAATGGGTCGGTCGGATTTTTCTCAAAAGGCTGCATTTTTACACTTTATTTTTCTGAACCCAAGTCCAAACAAACATCTCCCTCTTTTATCATCGAAACCCACCTTCTTTTTATCACTAAAGAATAACACAGCTCTGCACTCGGGTGGTTCTTTAGTGGAGGAGGGGTTGAAAAAATAAGCCATCTTTTTCATTTTCAGGCGTTTGTTTAAAAGGAAGGAGAAGCTTTGGCCAAGGAAAAGGAAAATGGGTTGTGTTGCCTCAAAGTTAGAGGAGGAAGAAGAAGTAGTCTCCATCTGTCGAGAAAGAAAGCGCCACCTAAAGTTAGCTGTAGAGAGAAGGTATGCTCTAGCAGAGGCACATTGTAAATACTGTCAAGCTTTATATGCTGTTTCAGCCGCCATTAAGCTCTTTGTGGCTCGCCATTCTTCTCCTTCCCCTTTCCTCATCACATTCCCTCCTCCATGTTCTCCCTCTCCTCCCCCTTCAGAAAAAGTGATAACCAATCCAATGTTTCTTCAGCAAACACCTTCTGACTCCACCCACCAAGCCATAGCCGCCTGCTCTTCTTGTGCTTCTTCTTCTTCAACCTCTGCAGAGTCCTCCACTGAAGAAAGAGAAGAAGAAGAAGAAGAAGAAGAAGAAGAACCAGCAGAGGAGGAGAGGATTGAACAGGTCCCTGCCTATTTCTACATGCAAATGCCACCCCCAATGCCATCCCCCCAGAGGGAGTTTGGATGGGATTTCTTCAATCCATTTGAGGCCATGAGGACGGATGTCATCGGCGGGTATCGCCAGAGCTCGGAGGACGATCTCAGGATGGTAAGGGAGGAAGAAGGGATCCCAGAGCTGGAAGAGGCAGAGGAAGACAGAAGAGAGCAAAACCAGAGAAAAGTAGTGGCTGTTGTAGAGGAAGAAGAGGATGTTGGTGCTCTTAAAGAGCAAAGGAATGGAGTTGAAATGGTTAAAGTTGTAGAGAGGGAGGAGGATGAGGGTCGGTTGAAGCAGAAAGGGCTAACTGTCATTGATACACCAGTGGAAGGAAGGGAACTTTTGGAAGCATTGCAGGATGTTGAGGATTATTTCATTAGGGCTTACGATTCAGGAATTGATGTTTCTAGAATGTTGGAGGCTAATAAAATTCAACTTCAGTCAGGTTTAGAAGAAATCAAAGGTGGGTCATTCATATATCTGTCTTTCATTGCATCACATGCATGCATGAGTTATAATTTCTTGCAAACTTATGAACATTCTTTTCTGAAACTTTATTTCCTTGTAGATTACAGAATTTGATTTTTGCATCAGATGCTGTGAATTGTCCAAACCTTATATGAAATGTTTATAAGATCTTTTGCTATGTGAAGTTTGGTTTCGAGGCTATGAGAAATGTAGTCCTATATTTGCAGTTGTAAATATAGGCATTCATGACTTGATATCAACCTCATTTTTACTGCAGAGAACTCGACTAAACTCATCCAAGCGATAACGTGGCACCGGTCTGCTTCGGCAAAACCTTCTTCATGTAAGAGTCTGGTAGCATCCAGTTCGAGAAGTTCTTCGTCATGGACAGAGTTTAAGAATGAGCTTTTTGATGATTACGGCGTTATGGACTCGGGAAGCCATTCATCGACTCTCGGACGATTATATGCTTGGGAGAAGAAACTCTTCGAAGAGGTTAAGGTGAAGTACGATCCTCAAGCTGTTTCTCTTCTGGTTTGATAGAGCTAGATTATCAAACATGTTATAGCAGAGGAAAATGAACCACAAATGAGCTTATTAGCTTGCCATGGCAATTTATTTAGGCAACCTTTTTTTAACTGTTTTGAGAACTTAGTTTTCCTTATCCTAAACCTTATTAGCTGTATTATGAGTTATTTACGTCGTCTCGAATGCTTTATTTACTCAATAAGGGATAACAGAGCTTGATTAGTTGTCCACGTGTCGGTTGCTGCAACTCGTTACACTCTTTAGAGTTGTAAACAGAATGAAGTTTTTATTTTCTTGACTAGCATGGCTGCGTCAGTGTAGATTTCTCCTCTGTTAGCATAGTAACCTTACTCTTGTGGATTTTAGAAGGGTCACCAAAAATTATTGCCCTGAAGATTCAGATTCGATGACCAAATTTTACACCATTTTGCATCTAGGATTTATTATCAAGTTTTCTGGCTTTTCCTAATATGCTGTTGGTTTTTGTTCTTATTCTTATTCTTATATTAAGGCTGGGGACAACATGCGCAAACTGTACGAGAAAAGATGTTCACGATTAAGAAACCAGGACGTTAGGGGGGACAATGGAGATACTACCGATAAAACCCGAGTTGCAGTAAAAGATTTATATGCCAGGATCTTGGTCGCCCTTCGGAGTGCTGAGTCGATTTCAAAGAGAATTGAGAAACTGAGAGATGATGAACTACAACCTCAAATTGTTGAGCTGTTAAAAGGGTAAAAATTGGAAGATGGCTGCATTTCTGATGTAAATAATGTTAGGTAATATTGTCAGTTTGTCACTTGTTTTTCTTGCCATATCGTTTTGCAGCTTAACAAGAACATGGAAAATCATGTTGGAAGTTCATGAAACCCAGAAAAAGATTATTCTTGAAGTGAAGACTTATTCTTGCCATTCCTATTTAAAGTTCTGTAACGAATCTCATCGCCTTGCAACACTTCAGCTGGGGGCCGAGCTTCAGAACTGGCGTGTGTGCTTTTCAAAATATGTTGCATCACAGAAGGCTTATGTTGAAGCTCTCCGTGGATGGCTAACCAAGTTTGTAGTGCCTGAGGTTGAGTTCTATTCTCGGGGTCGGATTTCGGGTGTGCCTTACGGGCTGCATGGACCTCCATTGCTTTCAATCTGCCATGATTGGTTATCTTCCATGGAAAAGCTACCGGATAAAACAGTATCCTTCGCATTGAAAAGCTTTGCAAAGGATATGAAGGCTCTATCAGACAAGCAGATGGAGGAGCAGCAGCAAAAAAGAAGAGTTGAGAGTCTGGCAAAGGAACTTGATCGAAGGATCCTGTCGTTCCAGAAAACAGAGAACAAATTCTTCGAGTTCAACTATACCGAGACGAAATCAGAGTTGGAAGTGGAAAACCAGAATGAGTACTTGACAGAAAAGAAAGACCAGTTGGACATGTTCAGAAAGAAGCTGGACTTGGAAAAGGAAAAACACCATAACTGCATACAACAAGCACAAAGGATTACACTAAATGGAATCCAAACAGGGTTTTCTGCAGTTTTTGAATCCTTATCAGAGTTTTCCAAGGCTTCCCAGAAAATGTACGACGACCTTGCAAACTACAGCGAGAACGCTGATAAATCTGGAAATGTGAACTATATTGAGGGCTCCCAAGTTGAAGAAAATGTTAGTAGCAGGTAATGGAAGATGAGACAGCTCTTTTTCTGGGGTTCTGTAAATTATATCTTGTCGAAGCAGCTCGCTGAGACATTGGTTTGTATTTTTATTCTAGCAATCTCATCCTAACAAATTGTTAAGATTTTTGTTACAGGCTTTTTTCATGCCCACAATTTTGTTGCAGACAAGGGCAATTTATTGCCTTTCTACATTATTGGCAAGAGACCCAAGAAATGTAGATATGGATTTTAAGTGGGCAATTATTGTAAGTAGCTTCAATGTACTTGAAAAACAAAGAAGCTTGGGACCTAAATTTAATGGTCGACAGCTCCATTTCAACCTTTTTAGCTTTCCACAAATCAACTGGCTCTCTCTCTCTCTGGGGAATTGCCAGAGAGCACATTCACAGCAGTGTATTGTCATTCAATCTGGTGCTGTTTGCTTGCAGTCCTGAAACTCGAGGCATCATCAATGGCAGTTGCAAAGCTTTGTCTTCATGTATGCGTTCTCAATCCATTATTATGGTGGGCACGTGAAATCAAAGCCTGAAAACTAGCAAAAAAACAAAGGATATTCACGTGTTTGGTCAGAGCTTGAAATTTCTTCTTTTTCTGCCTGCTTTACAAATATCTTTCATAATCATCCCCTCCCCTCTCCGTAATGCCCTGCAAGCTGAGAGAGCTGAAGGATCTCGAGAAGCCATTCCGCATTACAGAAAGAGCTGAAGGATCTCAAGATGCCATCGACCCATTGCCACCACTAACCCACACAAAGCCTTCGACTAAGAACTGCAGGAGGACATTTTGTGGGGGCGGGACCATTGGTAAACTTCGGAGAAAATGCAATAAGAAGACAGGGCTCTAAAACAATCCCAACATCCCAAGTGATTGAAATGGAAAGAACTTGAGGATGAAGCTGGAAGAACGAAATTTATGATCTTCTCTGATACTTCTTTTTCACTTTCCTGTTCTAAATCATCAAACTCCACGGGCATAGTAACGATGTAGTGAGCCAATAAAGTCTATATTTTGTGAATATAACCAAATGAAAAATTTACTAAGAAGAAATTGTGGCAAATGGACATGGGTGGATGAGACCATTTTGAACATTCGCATCCAGGATGAACATATGATGGTTATAATGTTCTTAACTATAAACACAAGTCCCATCAATCTAGTGAGCTTCTGAGCAACCAGAAGCATATTACCTTGGAGAACTAACATGTGATAGAGCAATTGAATAATTACAACTTTTACAATGAAGGGGCAATTAAAATATTCTATTAGCTCTATCTAAGGTATAAAGAGACCAAGAATTGGGAGAGAAGTACGAATTCACTTACTACAGTAGCAGGGGAATGTATACCAAGGAAAGGAACAATGTCAACCTGCAACCAACTCTCAACTGCAGACCCCACTACTGCACCAGCCACAAGGCCACCTATGGTTATCACCGTTGCCTTTCCTGCAATAAGAGAGGAAAATTGACTTCAACTATCATCTAAGAACAAGCACTTTATCAACTAGTGAAATTCTGATACTTGTCGTACAAAATTAAGCATGTTAGATTAGTTTTAAACCAAATATTAAAAACAAAAAACATTTTTTTTAATTATTATTGAATCATTATTAGCCGAGCCTTAGTATGAAACTTTCACACATCCAAGCAAAACTAGTTTGCTTGATTGTTCAGAAGGTCTACACTGATAATGATGACTCAACTTTCAAAATAGCTATAAACCTAAAAGATCCTCTCATCTTTCAAATTCTACTTAAAATGAATCAAGTTACATTCATTCCCCTTTTGATCCACAATTTTTGTTAGCAATAGCTAACTCCATAGCTAAGTAATATGGTTCTTCAGCCAATCTTTGGACTTTTCCAGAACATTAAACTTAACAAGAGCTTTGAATAATTCTCTAGTTCATGAGAACTCTTCCAATACTTATAAACACCATATTGTAAACCTTCTTCATTGAACTCCTTACCTAATTTTACGTTCTTTTTGGTCATGAAGTACAGGGAAGCTCCAAAGCTACCTGCCAAGATCAGTCCAGGAACATCAGCACCTGCATAAGGCAGTGAAGAAGGTGAAGAAGCTCCGTTTACATAAGTCAAGACTGCTAATGCCCCATATACACCAGCTTGTATGCCCAAGTCACGCGTAGATGGTGTTTCAATAGAAATAGGCATGTTCCTCAGCCATTGAGACTTTGAACCCATGCCAGGAGAGTTTATTGGTTTAACATCAGCATATCGAATGCGACTGTTCTCAACTTTCCCAGCTCGACGCCGAGTTAAGCTCTGCATAAGCAGTATGTCATATGCAGCTTCAATCTGAAACACATTTCGCATAGCAACAAGGAAAAGTTATGGGTTTCCTACCATATAGGCTATGGAGCCAAAATGCTTATAACAGCAAAATTTTTAACTTTAAACATGACTCATGGGATGGAATCAAGGAATCGCCCTTGGTAATTCTGTTATAAACCGTCCAATTAAAATATAAAACAGAAAACATGAAATCATTTGTTACAAAGCAATATGAAGAAAAACTCTTCCACATGTCAGAATATGTAAAATGGAGAAAGTAGGTAGATCACGCGAAGAAAGTTCTTTGACCGATTTATTACTGGTTAACAGAGTAAAAAGAATAACAACGGCAGTGTTGTTATTTTTACAAGCCATAATGATGGTCGTAACGATTATGAGCTTTGTTGTGACTGAAATAACGGTATATAATGGGATTATCCATACCATTAACTTCGGTAACTGGCATCCTTTTATAACAATTGATAGAACAAAAGCAAAAATCCCTGGCCATTGTAAACGATAACGGGAATATCCTAAAACGGAAAGAAACGGATGAGGATTTTTGCTTCCTCCTTCTGGAGGGTGGGCAAGAAAGTACAAATTGTTTCAAAATTTGCATGAAGTTCGTTTATAAGGAACTCAAGTTAAATTATATCTAAACTTTAAGAGAACTAAATATGCAGCATACTGGTACTAGCCACTAGGTTCCACTTATCGAAGCAAGAAAATATACTGATAATTTCAAAATTGAGTTACAAAACGACCAAATTGATATCAAACGCATAATAACAGATACTGAAAATTCCAAAATTAAGAAAGCCGGAACTCAAAGTACGATGAAAACCACCTGAGCAATCGCCTTGTCATCATTGCAAGTAGCGAGAGTGGAATTCTTGGCGCGGAGTATTTCATCGAAGGAGGCTCCTTCGGAGACTCCAAGAAGCTTAAGCGCGTTCTCAAGAGACATCTCAGACGGCGCCGAGTCGTCGGCGCGCGAGCTTGCTTGGACCGGCGGCAGCAGTGTTCTAGCAAATGCGCGGCGTGGAGGCGTGACACCGACACCGACGGCGCCGCCTCTCCGGGAAGCGGATTTTCCGGGATTGGTTGAGCCGGATCGTCGGACGGGCGGCCGGTAGAACAGTGAACCGGCGGAGAGGCGGTTGGGCCGGACGGAGAGGGTGGCTGCCATTGTCGTTGATTTTCTGCAGAAGCGTGAGGCTGGCCTTCGTTGATGCTGTAGCGTGCTTGCGAATTTAACCGCTGATACAAAGAAATGATTGAAATTTGAGAAATGTTATGGTAGGTCGTACGTAGATTAAGCTCTGGTGAGCTCTTTTTAAGCGTAAAAGGCTTCGGTTTGACGAGTAGAGTTTTTCTTTGACGGGGATGTTGGGAAATGGGAACGGACATATGGTGAATCAGACGTTAAGATTGACGTCCGTTTCCTAATCAATAAGTGATTTTAAATAATTTGAAATGATTTAACTAAATTTGTTATTTAGATATTGAAAAGTAAAAGAAAATAAAATATCAATTAATATTCTATTATTCTTAGTACAAACACATTGGGATACAGAAAACCTCATTTATAAAAAATATTAGAATATTAGATGTCTGATACGATTTAGTTAGTTTTTAAATAATTTGAAATGATTTAATTAAATTTTTTATTTAGATATTCACTGAAAAGTGAAAGAAAATAAAATATCAGGTGGAAACACATTGAGATATAGAAACCTCACTTTATGAAAAATATTAGATGTCAATTACGATTGAGTTAAGCTCATGTTAGTTGTTAATATAATTTTTTTCAATCTCAATTATTAAAATTCAAAATCCTTCGAGATTTTTATAACCAAACGTGTCATTAAGTTGACGTATGTACTAGTTATCACCTATTTTTTACAATTTTCAAATATAACACAAATTTTCATTTATATCAAAACTATACCAGACACTCGTATCAGTAGTATATCACATATATATATTAGTAGTTAGATATATTAGACATGTATACCATTTAGATAAAGTTGTCATTTTAAAATTGGACTTTTATTTTTTAAAAAAATATTAAATGTGATTGTAATTTTGTTAATCTACTCAATGCAACTGAAAAGAAAAACAAGAGTAAGTATATAAACTCATTCGAATTTATAGGGCTGTCTACCTATAATAAAATCACAATATTAAAATATATCTCATAAGTCCAGGTTGAAATCTCCACTGACACGTGTTTTTTAACTAAAAAAAAACCAGTGTGTAAGTTCAACTACAAAATTAATCTAAAAATTTGATGCGAGAATTTGTCACACACTCTCAACTGGAGTATAGGGTGAACTTTAGAATTATTAATTCATAATGTTATAATATCTTCTCCTCTCCCTTCCATTCGGATACTGTTGCTTGTTGCGATATGTCGAGCCGGTAGCCATAGCCAATCGCAAGATATTTTTTCCCCTCGGGGAAAGAGAACTTGTGGAGTTCCAAGCCTGAGAAATCGGTCTATAAGAGCGCTGGAAGTAACTGCAGGAGTTGGAAATGCGAAGTCGATAGCACGAAGACGAGCGTGATTGGGTCTAATTTTGGAGTGGGAGTCGTCCCCTGTAAACCCTACTTCTCGAACAGATTCCGAACTGGGGTTTACAGCAGAGCTTATTCTAAACACCTCTGCGCCAATGGAGGAGACAATCGGAAGAAGAAAAAAGTCGTCGTCGTCGGCTCCGGCTGGGCTGGCCTCGCCGCTGCTCATCACCTCTGCAACCAGGTTCTCTGTTAAATTACCCTTATTATATGAAGAACAGTTGCAAATAAACGAAAGGAAAAGGATTAGAAAGAAGAACACGGTTAATATGGAAAAGAAAAACAAAACAAAACAAGTTAACTGGTAAAATTGATTATTATGATTTGGTCTTCAGTTACCATTAAGATTACAATGACTTTATTGTGACATGTTAACTTCCAATGCTCTCTCTCTTGTGGTGCAACTGTTATGATACTCTGTTTTATCTTTATGGGGATGCAGCCGAGTGGTGAATAAGATAATTTCGCCAAAATTGAAGTGTTCTGTGGAGTTTCTGTTTCAGGGATTTGATATCACCGTTCTTGAACCCAGCAATGATTTTGGTGGTTCTGATAATGTTGGAATTCGTGGTAATGACCAGAAGTGTTCGTTTAGAGCACGTGTTCTGTAACATTCTCGTTTTTTAACTCTATTTTACCAGGAAAAAAAAAACCTAACAAGCACAAGTTCGATTTCCGAACTTCTATTCTACAATGTTTCTAATAAGCTCCTAAACTTTTAAAATTGTGTCCGACCCATCTTTTAACTTAAAAAGGTTTCTAATAGATTCCTAAGCTCATAATTGATAGTCATCTCGTCTTTTATTTTCTATTTTTAAAAATTATACCTGATTTCTCACAATTTCTTTGGCATACTTTTGAAACAAAGTTCAATCTTTGGCCAAATTTCAAAAACAAAAATAAGTTTTTAAATTTTATTTTTTTTAGTTTTCAAAGTTTAGCTTAAATTTTGACAACTTTTTTAAACGGTAAGTAAGAAACGTTAAGTGTTTCTAGGCTTAATTTTTTTAGAACATAAAACTAAAAACAAAATAATATCAAACTGGACCTAAAATTTCAATTTTACATCTAATAGGTCTTTTTGTAATTTATGTCAATTTAACATTTATTATTTAAGAGTGATGTGGTGAGCTGATTCAAAGGAGGTTCAAATGTTTGGTTGCATAAGAATTAACCATAGGACTTACGAGGTACAAAATTAAAAATTTAGGAGCCTATTAGAATTTATTTTTAAGTATAGGAACTAAATGAATATAATCGTCATAATTTAGATATTAATTAAAAAAAGTATAAAGACTAAATAGACACAGCCTTTTTAGACTAAATAGATATCATTTTGTTCTAGGTTACTGGCGTCCCTATCAGAATATATTTAGCCTTGTTGATGAGCTTGGTATCACTCCTTTCACAAAGTGGACAGCACCTGCTCATTATTCAGTTGATGGATTGGAGGTAGGTAATAACTTTTCAATCATTATTGCTTAAATACTCATACTCTTTGGTTAATTAGACTAATTTCCAATAATCCCAAGTTACATCTTAGTTCATGTACATCCATTTGTTCATTGATCTTATAAAATTGTTTAATCTTCTGAATTATGTAAATCCCATCTTGTTAGTTATAAGTTTTGTTGCTTCTTAATTGTGTTGTGAAGGCAAGGCAGTTCTTGTGTAGGTAAAATTTCCAATATTCCAAGATCTGCCTCAACTGCCAACTCCTCTCGGAGCCTTATTCTATACAGGAGTATGGATCGCTTCACATTTTCACCAACCTCATAATCGACTGTTAAGTTTAAATGGCCTGATGAAAAGTCGAATTTCGGTCATTTGATCACAGTTCCTCTGGCTCCCATTATTGGATCGGTTAACATCACTTCCTTTGATGGCTGCAGGTACCATTTCTTTATGATCTTTTGCTATAGATATCTATATTCCCCAATGTAACGAAAATCTGACATTAAAAATGAAATTTAGGCTACCCTGCTTTCTCCAACAAGTACATGATACCTTAGTGTTTTTACCAAAATCTAGTTCCTAGTACGCTCTTTTGTCTTGTCCGAAAAAATAAACATAATGTTGGATTTTCTCTAATGCAATAACTTGAGCATTGATCTAATTCATGATAATTTCACATGTTATAATTTCCAAATGCGTGCTAAGTGCAACACACTAGCATCTGATGCATCCCTTCTTCCATTTGACCATCCTATAACTGTTTGGAGGTTAACTAAAAAATATATTCTCACAAGCAATTTCAATTTGGGCACTTTCATGTTTTTCCCAAATGTGAAGTTCTCTGAGTTTTGTTTCAGTTATTGACTTTGATAATACGGATATGGCATGGAGGAAATATGATTCAAGTAAGATCTTTGTCACCTGAGTATACTCTTGGTATTGGACTTCTTCTGTAAAGGTGAACGTCAGTGTCTTATCAGTAGCTGTTTCTGATTGATAGTTACCGCCCGGGAGCTATTCAGTCGGTTCGGTTGTTCGGGAAAACTCTATAGCAGCATACTCAATCCTTTGCTTCAAGTGGGACTGTTCGCTCCAGCCGAGCAATGCAGCGCTGCAGCAACCTTGGGAATTTTATACTACACTATCCTTACTCACCAGGTTTGGAGATCCAAATCCTTTTAACAACATCCCTGCTTCTTCCTTTGCTAATTATGTCAATCTTTTTGTTATCTAATCTTGAAAATGCATACAGAAAGATTTCAATGTAGTCTGGTGTCGTGGAACCATTAAAGAAAAGATTTTCCAGCCATGGATGGACTCTTTGGAGAGCAAAGGCTGTAAATTTGTTAGGGGTAGCAAAATCACAGATGTAATTGTTGACGATGATACAAATTGTCTCTCGAAAGTTCTTTGTGGCAATGAAAGATACCAGGCTGATGCAGTTGTATTTGCCATTGGAATTTCTGAACTCCAAGAGGTCGTTCGTAATACGTATGGTTCTCTCTCTTCCGAATTTTTTTATAACTTGCATATTTTGCTGCTGTTTCCTGCTTCTGTTTTGTATATATAACTGTGCTGGTTTCTCCTGGTCCTTTGTTCTGTTTAGTGCAGCATTATACAAAAAGGAGGAGTTCATCAAGGTTTTGAACTTGAGGAGTGTTGATGTGCTCACTGTGAAGCTTTGGTTTGATAGAAAAGTAAGTAGAATGACGAGAACCAATTTCAAGTATCGTTGCACTCGTCTGATGGATTTCATATGATGGAGCTCTTTAACTGCAAATTTAAACAGGTTAACTTTCCAACTGCAATTAATTCTTGCTCGGCTTTGGATAGTTCTTTCGGGTGGAGTTTCTTCGACTTAAACACAATTCAAGATGAACACAAAGACGAAACAGTTACAGTCTTTCAAGCTGACTTTGTGAGTATAACATCATCCTCTCCAACTAGTCGATAAAATTAATATTTTTTTGCAACGTAAAACATTTGCAGTCATCTTTTTTCATAAGCAGTATCATGCCAACGAGCTATTACCACTGAACGACGAAGTTATAGTCGAAAAGGTCAAATCCTACCTCTCGACGTGCTTCAAGGACGTCGAGAACGCGGTCGTGGTGAAGAAGGAAATCAGAAAGTTTCCAGGATCCTTAACTCACTTCTCACCTGGTATCTAAGATCAGAACTCCCCACATTTACTTTGTCCACAGCTGAATACCAAGTCCTCATCAAATCTTTTGTTTCATCTGTGGCTGTCTGATTCTCCTAAAGGTTCATACAAACACATGATGCGCGGTTTTACATCGTTCCCGAACGTGTTCATGGCTGGAGACTGGATCGTAAACCGTCACGGTTCGTGGTCGCAGGTTCGGATACGATTTTCTTTGGCTGATTTGTAGTGATGAACATTGTGTTTGTGGTTTGTATGGAATGAGTTACTGTTTGGGCAGGAGAAATCGTATGTGAGTGGGGTTGAAGCAGCCAATAGAGTGGTGGATTTTCTTGAAGAAGGAAGCTTTGCGAAGATTTTACCAGTAGAGGAAGATGAGCCTCATGTGGAGGCTCTTCGTGGTCTCAACAGAAGGATCGATGAGTTCGGATCCCAACTTCCATTGTATGGTTTCTTCCTCTAATGAACTAATGGATGAACGTTGTTGTTTATCCTGCAATAGTTTTGTAAATGTTTGGAATAATTACGAAAACGGAAAATTTGATGATGTAATTATAATAAAATAATGTTTAGATACTTGTCGTAGGCTGAAATCGTCTCCCTGCTACTAAAAAATTTGATAGTTGAGAGAGGCCAAATTCATGAAATAAGAGAGAGAATTAAAATCTTTTATTTTAGACATCTAAAATACTAGTTATTGTAATAATTCCTAACTATTATGGACCAATGATTTTTTAAAATTACCATTGTGATACATTTAAAATTAATTCTTAATTTCACAAACATAATCAATAAGTGATTTTGATAATGATAAAAGTGTTATTTGATTATACCAAAATTACTCTTAAATGCATTGTCTGATGATGTAAATTTTTTTCTCAGAAAAAAAAAACTAATGAATAGAGGGCATTTATTATTATTTAAATTCGAGTTCATAAAATTAAAACTTGCCAAGCATTTTTCTCAAAAAAAAAAATAATAATAAAAATAAAAATGGAAAATAAAAAATAAAATAACTCACTCCGACGAGTCCGACCTGCGACGTAATGGATAAATCGACCGAACCCCCCGCCGCCGCCGTTGGCTTCAACTTTACAGATGTAGAATTCCTTGCTGTGATCTTTTCCGTTCGTTCGATGCGCTAGGCGCCTCTTGTTTGCGTTCCCAGAGATTCATCCCGTTCTATGCTCGTTCGCACCGAAATTCCAATCTCAAGAGACTCTGATTTGCAATCGTCTAGGGAATCAGAAAAGAAGAGTGATTGCTTCACTTCTTTGGTCACTTATTATATCTTTGTCACTGAGAAAAATTTTAGATCTACACCATGACTATAGCAACTAGTAATCGCATTTTTAACCTAAGGAAGATTGTTCGCTGCTAGAATATGGGGTTCGAGGAAGGTGAGTAGTTCCAGAACTTCAATAGCATTTGATATTGAAAGTCTATGGCTATGGAGGGAGGGATTTGGGAATTGTACCCTGATAACAGACATAATCATTCTACGGGATTCACGGAGTTCGAACATCACAAATCATACAGCGGGCTTCTGTTGGTTTCTGGCCTTGTAAAAGGAGAGGGATCCAGGATCACAAAATTCAGTTCGAAGATTAGGTAATGTTTATGAACTGAGAAAATTTAGTTTCATTAGAAAGTTATTTTCAAGCTGATATGATAGGCCCTTGTATATGCAACTTTCTACGTAGTCCTGCAAGTGTCTACAGTTATTTGAGGCATTCTTATGGACTTCCAGTGCCGTATGTACGTGTGTCACCAAACACTTTTTTCCTTTCAGTACTGAGAAGGCATCTTGAACCCCTTTTTCAATATTATAAACCATTTTATAATACAATCGAGTTGATCTGTTGCTTTTTGTTGCAGATGAAAAACTTTTCATGTTTTACTTCCTAACATTACTTCTGTCGTTTCTGTATCTGTCTGCTGGCTTGTTTTCACTGATGAAAATCAGGCTGTGGAGAAGCAAAATATTGAGTTATTTCTCACTAATCAACACCACTACTTAGTATAGTTGATTTTGAAACCAGATATTGCAAGGTTGATATGATTGAAATACCCGTTTGGATCTCATAAAGTTGTTCTGCTGAAGATTTGGTGCTTATGAGATTTTTTCCATTAGACCAAAGCTGACTAACATGATTTGTGCTGAAACACCAATCCGTGTGGGCCTAATGCTTTACTTACCACCACTATTTTGTAATAAAATAGGCTCCACATCTATTGTGTTTTTAACTTTCGTTTCCCTTAATTTTTCTTTTTTTCATCACTATCATTTGCTTAAATTCTTATGTGCTTTAATTTTATATCTGTTGGAAATCATAATCATCTGGGATGGTGCATTAGCAATCCTGACTCCTGGGTGCTCTACTTGCTCCCTCTTAATCATTGACCTTATCCCATATTCATTTTTTGATTCCCATATTTCCAGGTGTTCTGTCTTCATCTCTAAAATTGGCATAAGAATTTTTGGATTTCTGTTGGAGCATGTTAAAATAAAAAAATTTGAAAGTATATTTATTGAATTGGAAACATCACATCACTTATTACGTTTCAATAAAGTGTGTCTCTACAGGGAAAAGGGTAAGAGGAAAGGAAAGCAATCTGCTGGTAATTACACTTTGAAGTTCAGACCTCTGAAGCAGCCCCTCTCTCACATTTAATCGTACACCTATTGAAAGGAAAAAAGAAAAGGGGAAAGAAAAAAGGTACAGATTTACAGTCTCCTATTCCTACTTGCATCACATCAACATATTACTGCCTTGTGTTTTCTTTCCCTCTCCTCCTTATCCTCTCTCTCTCTCTCTCTCTCCACCTCCTTGGATTTTCTCTTACAGGAATGATAAATGAAGCCTTTTCAAGCTGCAGGTCACTCCCCTCCCAACCCAACTAACAGTCATCATGCAACTCCCAACCTTCTACAGCTTCAATGGCAGCTTTTGCAAAGGAAAACAAGTGAAAAGTTAAGGCTCTGTTTGGCAGTCCCACCTATTTGTCTAAAACAAGCTGTGCCTGTGCCACCCTCTATGGATGCTTGGTTGTTACTCACTAACCCACCGAAAGAAGGGTGAATCAATGTAGATTCTGTTGTACGGCCGGCGACAGTCCAGAGGTAAGTATTATGAACAAAGTCTTGTTTTCTTTCATACTTTCACCGACTGCTTGAGGGCCAAACCCATTTTTAGAGGTGGGGGTGTCTCTGTTTCTTTGGTTGCTTGTTTTAGTGGAAATGATTTTGCAAAAGTTTTTGTGGCTTTTACAATACTTAGTCCTTGTTTAATCAAACTCTAAAAAGGAAATCTTGTACTTTATGTCAATCATTCCTTCTAAATCTAATCAAAAGCCCCTTTTACTTTCCACTTTTTCCTAGCTTAAGAAACTAATGTAATGCAATATTAGTAGATAAGAGCATTTGGTTGGTGAGTTTAAGAAACTAAATAGAAGTCCGTTTGGTTAACATTATCTTTTATATATATATTTTTTGTTTGAAAAAACTAATATTATGTAAGCTTAGCAGATGTTGTCACGCTGCATTCTGTT